TGTTGTGGCTCGTGTACACGTCGACAGCCAAGTTTCATGAAACAAGCTTCAAAATCGAACGATTAATGCTTGAAGCAGTAAAAGTTCTGTCAACAGCTCTACTTTACCCTAGAAGCTGATGATTTTGGCTTAGTCACAACGGTCACACAAGTCAACGCCCACTCGCTGGTGGCAAGCGCGTTGTGATGCGCGATCGCACCCTCCACTCTGGGGGGTTGTCAGCGGCAGCGACGACTAAAAAATCTTGCCGAAGTAAAATCTCAAACTTTCATGTGAGAAAATCTTTTTAATTCGACAAATACTGATGCATTCTCGCTGAATTACCCGAAAAATTGTAAAGTAACCAACCTCTTGCATATCGAGCTGAGCCGGCGTAAGAAGACCCTAACGCGGCTGGATTCTGTGAGTTTTTTTAGTTAATGTGGCACGTCGACTTTTTCTAAGACAACTAGCGGCCAAAACAGATACACGTAAGCTAACGGCTGCTCGTTCGATTTTCGCCATCGTATGAATCTGTTCCAGACAACTCAAGGGGGGGCAGCACCGAATCGCTGCCTTGAGGTCGAAGATAGCTCGGCTTGACGGATGGTGAAGACTCCAACAAAATGCCCGGCATCCAAATATTTCGATAGAGTGGGGTCCTAAGCAGGCTCAGAGATCCCACAAAGAACAGAGAATGTACTCGCGCTTCTTTGTAAAACTGAGAGTTTGACTCAACATTTTTCTTGCTACAACCATGAGTTGATCAAATTTGCGAGGACGCAAGTTAGTCTTACTGACTGTTGACAGTGCATGTAGGTTGGATAATCGCGCTAACAAAAACCTTCTCACCGCATATAAATGTTAGTTTTGTACATTCTGGCTATTGGCCATAGCGTCGAGCACGCAGCGTATGTCGTATGGTTTTTTAAAATGCAATCTTCGATTTGATTCTGCTACGGAGGTGATTTTGACAAGTCAATCAGTATTGACAACCTATACCGAAAAAACGTCGGGGCCACAATAGCCCGTTCTTTAAATTTTTTGAAGCCTTTGAAGCTAGGCACTGCGTTTTTCAATGCATTGATAACAAGTGAAAGCTTTTCGCTCCAGCTCCGCGGTCACTCTGGGTAATATATTTTTCATGTTATTCTGGCGTTCCGTCTGGCCATCTCCCGGGATGGTGTATAGTGGACACGTTTTGATTTGGTGTATAGCTATTTGGAGAAAGAGCACAGATATCGATCCGAATCGATGGCCAACGGCAATCCATGTTTGCTGGATGGTACAGACGGCCACAATGCCAGTATAAAAAATAAATTATTTGCCAAGGTTTACGCATTCCTCTCATATTCTTAGAAATATTTGCCGAAGACTGTGTTCTATTTCTAAGAAAAAGTTGGGGATATCTAATTACACTATTGTGTTAAAAAATCGTTACTTTACCAAGAAATTATCTGCTACACGAAATGTACAGTATGCGAGTTAGAACTTTGCCTTGCGCCCACATTTCGTTCGCTTCAGAGGTTTTTGATGCATTGCTAGCAGCCACAAGCGATGAACAGAAGGGATGATATCCTCAACAGCAACACGCTCACTTGGATTGGCAGCCCAGCCAGCTTCAAGAATTTCAGCACACGCTGTCGGAATTGTCGGAAGAAGTGGGGGCCTCTCACCGTGAGCTACAGCGCGATAGACTTCAAGATGCGACTTAGCTTCCCATGGACTCCGACTTGGTACCATAATTTGCCACAACGTGATCATTAAACTATAGACGTCTACAGCCGTACCATATCGCGCAGTCTTGCCACCCTTGATCATCTCTGGAGCCATATAGTCAACAGTACCAGCAATCGTCATGGTTCCATCACTCCGTGGTCGCAACAAGTTGGCTTCTCCAAAATCTGCAAGTTTGATAAGAAAGTCCTGCCCCACTAAAAAATTGTCCGTTTTGATGTCACGATGCAGTAACGGGGGCGTAAAGCTATGAAGATACGCAACAGCACGACATGCATCCAGCCACGCCTTGAGCTTGGCTGCCAATGTCCAAATTTTAGGGGTTTCACGCATGGTCACGTCCAGCGCTCCATACTCGCAAAACTCAAAGACGAGTGATATTGATGGTGGCACAACGCAAAGGCCGTAAAAGCGAACGACATTTGGGTGCGACAATTGCACATTAAGCGCTGTTTCTCGTGAAAAGCGCTGTACTTCTTCACTTGTTACCTGCACATCGGTGTAAATTTTCAATGCAATTGGGATCCGCTTGCTTCGACGTAAGGTCCCACGCATCACAATGGAAGTAGCACCTTGTGCAATGATACAGTCAAGCGCTAGGACTGCAAAGTCCACGACGTTGTGTCTGTGCTCCTCAATCATATGGTGGACATCGTACACTGATGTACGAGTAGAGAAATTTGTGATCATGCCTCGTTCCGATAACAAGTTAATGTAGCGACGCATGGCACTTGACGAACCGGTGGATCCTGATCCATTATCGTCAATTGCGAGCCAAAAGCGAGTATCGGCACGCAGAGACAACATGACAGCAACAACCGTGAGTGATTCCAATCCGACCGCAAGACAGTGGACAGCTGGCGATGTAACTGTGTCGATTTGTGCGAGACCCACGAACGCACTTAATATGTTTGCGAGTGACGTGAGCACAGCAGCGACAAAGAAGAAGTCAAACGTAGGTCGAGCATGGAAGACAAACTTAGCCCAGAAATAAAAAAATAGCAACATTACGTAGACCACCATTGCGATCGCGTCGGCAATCACATGGCGGACTTTGTACAACGTCATATTGCAGAGCACAAGGACGACACAGACTGCTCCCGAGTACACAATAGCGCGTAATACGGCTTCTTGGGAGACACTTCGTTGGACCATGAGCATTGGCAGCAACTGCAATGCCCAAACAAACGGCATAGTTACGACATTGCACGGGTAATTTGGATCGTCGTCTACTGTCAATGGTTCATATGTCTTGCCACTCTGATTCGTAACTGCTTGGAAGCTGACAAAGTAAAGTATTAAGCCAGCAGCCGATAAAGCAGCAAGAAAATACCAAATTGCTTCATAACATGGCAGCATAAAAGCTGATTCTGTCAAAGTAAAGTATTCACAACAAACACTTAAGCTCAACTTCAAAGTGCATGAATCACTGCAAACTTACTGAGATTTGAGCTGATGCTGCACGGTGCGCTTCGTAGAACACGCTTCCGACTTCGACTACAGAGCAATCCCATCCAGAGGGATACAATGAGGAATACAGTGTTGTTCATGGTAGGAATGAGCACACCAGCCAAGTATAACGTCGACGCTGAATAGCTTTCAAACCGCCCAGGTAACGCACATTGGATAACCAAATGGATGTGATGAGGTGTAGCGTCCGACAGGATCTTAGACACGAGTATTGCGAGACCAACACTGACAAGTGCCATGGTTAGCGTCACATATAATGGATACGAGTCCCAATTAGGCATCATACGTCGCCAGAGCGACAAAATGTTGTGTCGTAGCCGCCAACGATGCAACTGTCTCCACTGCCATTTGCAGCATTTTCGAAGTCTCTGAGCCCACCGTGCTCCGCGTTCCACGGGTTGCATGGGAAGGATTCCAGCTAGAAAACTACGATGAGATCTTGTCTCGCTGGGCGTGTAAAGGCCCATTGCGTCGCCTTCAGCTGTCTCAATTCGTCCAGACACGTTAGTGGATGAAGTGATTCTGCTTCCACCTACTTCTACCTTCTGCTCCGCCGATAATTGACGCAGCGTAGATCCTACTGGCTGCAATCCAAGTCTGTGATTTACATCATGTGCTGCGGTCTGCTGCACGTCTGTATCAATGAGGATGGAAGCTTCACGCGTGGGCATAATGTTGGCTGGAGTTGTGAAGACACTAGCTCCAGGCATAGGAAAAAGATTACTGATGGATTCCACACCTAAATGTTGATTGCGATTGCCGTCACTACCGCATCGCGTGTTGTCTTCATCGCTACGAGTAGTCGGAGTGGGTGGGTATTGTCGACGAAAGGAATGCTGAGATTGCGGTGCGCGGTACGTCCCGGGTCGGTTACGTGGAGAATCACTGGTTTGTGCATCAGGAGAGTTGTTGGTATCCGTCTCGAGAAGCACAAAGCTTGAAGATGGTGATGCAGCGACATTGGGTCCAGGAGATGCCATGCGCCAAAGACGTCAATATTGGGACTTACGCTTTTTGCTGGTCAACACGCTTTTATGTGAAATTTGTATCAAGTGAATGAACTTCAAACTGGTTCTCTTTTATTCCGGATGTACCTTGGTCATACTGGTATTACTTGTCTAATTAATGGTGATTATCACTAAATCGTTACGCTTCTCAGAATTATTAGACATTGGCAATAAAAGTCGGGGTTATGTGCACCTGCCGGCAGCAAACTTTAACAGCTGAACTTCGATCAGCTGCACATACATATTTGATGGATCAGCAGAAAGGCACGATGAATTGATATTCACAGAAAATTTGCTCAAAGATCAGTTCTTTTAATGTGATGCATTAAGACCAAGACTTAAAACCTTAATGTCCATATCATAATTACTCTCATATATATCGCTAGTCCTTTACCACCACACTGGCTAGTCCACTACGTTCTTTACCCTCGCTCAAAGATTAAATTATTCTAAAACATAAGTTTTGGAATAAAATAAATTCAAAACAGGTGAGAAGCTTGGATAACTTAGATGACATTAGAAATGCCATCCTTCGAAAAATGACGAAGATTTTGGTGAGTCGGCCACTGATGTGCAAATGACAAACGAAAAAGTCAGCACGTCAAAAACATTTTGAGATAAACGAAAACTTTGCCAACGACATGAAAGTGTACAACGGCAAGATTCTGGCATTTCCGCCAAACTCTAAGGGGATTTCTTGCTGATGAGCATCAACTGTAATGAGCGCTGTCGAGTGACCAAGATCTTTGGTTAGGCTTTTGAATTGCGTTGAGGACAATACGTTGCGAACGAAATCATTAATTTCACGGAGTCATCAACTGATGAGTCAGAGACGATTCAAACTGTCGATGAGTTGCGCTGACCTCTTCTCATTCCATCTCCAGAATCCTTGAAGCTGGTCGAGCTGCTGTTTAAGCATGTCAATTGGACGCAGTACCCAGAAGCCTCGAAGCTAACAAACTTAAAGATGATGATAGTCTACCACGATGTAAACGTAATCGCACTTTGTCATTTTCGCTCCAAAGATGTACTTATCCGGTCCTCACAGCTCTTAATTGTTCTTCTGTTTCTCATTCAGCTGTCAAAAACGCTTTTAATGAACGTATGATCGGCATAATTCTCTTTCAAATGCCTCACGGCGTATATTCGTATTCCAGACGAATTTTGACCCATTTTCTTCTTGATGATAACCAATAGTCTGACATCAATCGATCACAGCTCTGTAAGAGATCGCGGCAGTTCTGCTATGTCTTTATCTCGCTGCCGGTGTCGTCTTGACAGTCCACTCTTCTTGTGCTGCATGCCCGATGAGGTTGCATCGTCCTTGTCCTTTTTCTTCTTTTTATCTTTACTTTTCGTCGCGCCGTTAGCAGCAGCACTGCTAGAGAGTGGCTTGGACGACACACCTTGCTTGCGAAGGGCCTTGTCTCGTTGGGCTTGTCGCTGCTTGATTCGTAGCCGTTTCTTGCGCTCCTTCTCTTTAACCTGCATTTGCTGCCAGTCTGTGTGAAAAGCTTGCAACGCAACATCTCCTATAACAGCTTCATCTTCAGACACACCTTCTGAGTCATCAGGACTATTATCGATTGATGGTTCAGAAGATGTTAAATATTTTTCGAGCTCCACGTTCTCATCTACTGATGTCGCTGGTGATGAAGGAGACGATTCGTTTGGTAGTGGTAGGAAGGGTGTACGAGATACGTCAGTAAGCTTACTACTCGTTTTAGATGCAGAAGGTCGCCTTAGCTTATGTGGGGATTTGATCTCAAAATTGAAAGACTCCGTTTCGTGAATGACCGATCCGCTATCCTCATCATCACACTCGCGCTCATCCGCAGGAGTTTCATCGTCCAAAAGGGAGCCAGCTGCCACAAATCCAAAGTCGTAGTTTTTTTTAAAAATGCCAAAGTCCGTGGTGTCCTTGGCGATTAATTTTTCAGGCCAGTCCGGTGAGCTTGCCTCAGCACTGGTATTTTTGATAAAATCATTGCTTTTCTCAATTAAAACCACCTCATCCATAGCAGAAAAAAGTGCGGCCTCCATCTTAACAGGAGTGAAAACAGAAATTGCATCCTGCCTGCCGTTCTCAACTGTAGGTGAAGCGCTCGACTCCAATTGTTGAGAGTCGTTCAAAGGCTGTAAGGATGACTTTGTATCTACTTCAGCGTTATGAATCAAATTAGCTGCGGTATTCTCTTGGGTGACCGGCATCCAGACTGAAGCTGCATCCGCAGCAACAGCGACTGGTGAAAACAATTTGTTGCTTTCACTCTTGATTGTAGTACCAATTTTCGGAAGGTCCGAGCTAAGATTCTCTTTGGAGACGTTTTGCATCGCCACCTCAAAAGTATCGCTTTCTTCAATAGGTATTGATGAATCAGATTTATTCATGCCAGATTTATGTCTCCTGGACTTGATCTTTCGTATCTTTGCCCAATTGATTGCAAAATTTTCGTCGTCATCAGCTTCATTATAATTAATTGTGTCGATAGAGTAAGAAAGAGCATCATCTTGTCTGCGTACAGGTGCTGCAGCGTCCACGGATGCGGCAGTAGTGGACGACATATGACTTACTTTGTCGTCTGTAGGAGATACTAACGTTAGCTGGCTAGACAAGTTGCTTGTACCATTCGTAATCGGGGCAGAAGTTACTTTTGTCGTAAATGTATTGGCCTGTTCTATCAGATGATCACTATCTTCATAAAGCTTAGGAACATCACGATCATTGGAAATATCAAATAAAGCATCAATCGGATCGTCCTCTCTAAATTGCTTGATTCCAGACTCCCAGACCGGCATAACATCACGGCTTTCACCTTGATTGTAATGCGTCAACTTGGCAAAAGATGCATCATCGCCTGTATTCAGCTGAGATGATTGCTTCCCACTTCGTGACGTCAAGTCTTCAGTGTCATCTTGGGCTGACACGGAAGCTTTAATCTCGCGACTATAATGTCGTCTCGACTTCGACCTTTTTTTTCTCAGATTTGCCATATCATTCGTGTCTTCATCGCTGTGTACTTCTTTGTCTGGTTCATCAATCTGAATTTCAGTTTGAAAGAGCGCTTCGTAACTCATAGCCCCGTTGTCATTTGGACTGTCCTCAAACAGATCCGCAAACGAATCTTTGCGCTTTTTCATAGTTTTTTTTCTCGACTTCGACCGCTTCGAGAAATCATGTGCGTTATTAAGTTTGTAATTATCAGCGTTGCTGCCATTATCATCAAAAATGTTTTCTTTGCGAGCGACTGGACTTACCATGTTACGGCTGACTCGTGGCTTTTCGCTTCTTCCGCTTCCTTTTTGATTGCGAATCAGCTGTTTCAGCGCTGCTAGCTCGTCTTCAAGAACACTGATTTTGTCAGCAATAACTTCAGCGACTTCGTTTGCCACCTTTTCGTCAATGGATACAATTGGGGGTACTCCTGATCCTAAGCCTAGTACGGGGGTGTCATCGTAGCGTTCAACATTAATGCTAACATTTTTATAACGTAGAACTGAGGGAGGCTGCGACTCAGGTGACTCTGACTGATTCGGACGTTGAGTTATTACTGAACGCAGTGGAGCTTGAGTTGCCACATATTTGCCCGTTGTCGAGTCGAACAAATACTCATTCGGTTCTTCGAATTCGGCAAAGAAATCGTCGACCGAATTGTTTTTGGATATACTTTTTTCAAGAGGCTTGCGGTTTAAATCGTCCATGATTGTTACGAGCGGAGTATTGTCAACAATTGTATTGTGGCGCAAGGTTGAGCCGCGATTGTCTTCGTTAGTCAAGCGAGTATGAAGACTAGTCGGAACAGCATACGTAGCTGAACCAAATGTCGGATCCGACTGGACATTACTCCATGTGTAAGTAGGCTGTTTCGATTCAGTCTGAATCTTTCGATCATCTAGAAGTGACATAGCTGCTGAGTGTCTCCATGCCTCAGTCTGATTTCTTACAGCTTGGTTAGATGTTTGAAGTGGTATCAACTCATCTCCAACAAAAATCGCGTCAGATTCTTCCCTAGGTCGCTGCTGGTCAAAGCCAGATACTCCGACTGCAAGTGTTGGAACGCTTTCCTTCTTACTGCGAGACGCTGCCCACTCACCTGTGACGTCTGCACTACGAGGATGGTTATTGCTGAAAGCCATATTTTTTTTAGGAGACTCAAATAAAGCATCAAAGGTATCCCGACGTGAACGCTCGATATTCTTGTCCTCATGCTGATACCCTCGAGTTTTAGCTTCAGAGTGCAAACTAGCGTCTCTTGATTCAACACTTCTTGTCAACGTATGTCTGAATTCTTCAACTGTAGAAAATATACTCCGAGTGGCTCCGGGATCGTCTATTGTATGTCGTTCTAGGCCATTAAGAGGTGGTTGCTCCGAAATAAGTTCGTTACTATCAGATTTAGCTGATGTATGCTCAGCGATCTGAGAATTTGGTACAGGCGCTTCGGCGCCATCTTCGTTTGATGCGCTTGCAGCACTCGGAGCTTTGACAGATTTTGGTAATGTACTCGCTCTTTTCCTTGCAGGCTTCGATTTCGACTTCATGCCAAAAAAACGCTTCAAAGCACTTGTAAATCCGCTCTTTCCATTAGCAGTTGCCTTTGGCTTGTTTTGACGACTTGTCACGGAAGAATTTGGACTATGCCACGAATTCTCCACCATACTATACGATTCTTGGCGACTTGAAAAGCGGCGAGCTGGAACATTCGACGGTAATGCAGAACTACTGACCCAATTTATATCACTTACAAGCTGTCGCTGTTGTTCATCCTCCTTGCGGGCCACTTGCTTTGCCGTGGTGGATTCAAAAATTGGCGAGTCATCAATTACAGGTTTGTCAGCGTCATTGCCATAAATTGCAAACTGCGCAGGTACCGGGTGGGGACGCGGCATCGCAGACTTGCGTGCGCCAAAATGTTCTGACAAGGACGACATATTCAATTCATCGAGTGTCATGGTATTCCTCATTCTCGACTTCATTTCATCAAATTTGTCTCTTTGGTTGACTTGCGTGGTTAATTGTGAGTAAGAGTATAGCTCTTTGGAGATTCCATCATCAGCCGCTGCCTGTCTTCGACGGAGCTGTAACTCATCGTAACTAAAGTCAGAATTTGTAACCAGCTGCATGGGTCGAGGCATCGCAAGTATACGATCATCGTCATGGCCGAGTCCGGGGCCGTCCATAGTATAATGAAAGTGTTCTGACGTATTGTCATTCACAGAAATCTTACTAAGCTTCTTACTGTGGTCAACCCCAGTTGTCATCGCGAATACTTGCTTAGGTCTCGGCATATCAATCAAGGACTCAAGATCGTGTTCAAAACCAGGTCCACCAATCTCATCGTACCGAAATTGCTCTGATATATCGCCCTTTCCTGTAATTTTGGCCGTCAAAGTACTCCCAGTCATTCGCGCAGGCACTGGTGTCTGCTCGCTTACGTTTGTGACAGTATACGTCTGCTTCTCTCCACTAGATCTTCTTGTATCGCTACCTTCGTCACCACCAACACGCACATGCGGCTTTGAGACATCAGAAAACCAATCATCATCTGCACTATCAAACAAAACATTCGACATTTCCTCTTCATTCTTCTGGACTTTTTCCCTACCCGTCATCGTCGTAGCAACTTGTGCTGTTTCCATCATCTTTTCGGATTTCTTTCCTTTCTGTTTCTCAGGTTGATTCTTCTCCTTATCATTTCCATGCATCACCGTCAAACGTCCATTATTTTCAGCTTTCCTGGGCATCGATACAGGCGTCAAGGCGACAACTGACGATTGTCCGTCTAAACCAGATGCCTCGAAAAGATGTAGATCTTGCGGATCGACGAGCGTATTTCGATCATAGACAGCTTGTTCAGCCAACAGTTTCTTGTTACACGGTACACAAACTCTATGCTTGCGGTGTGAGAGCTCAAAGTATAGAAATGACGAGCACTCTGAGCACATGACGCGACCGCAAGGACGACAATGATGCCTGCGTTTTATAAGCGAGAAATCTGTTCCACACAAACCGCATCTAAACACATGATCATTCGACTGCCATTGCACATCAAAGAGTTCCTGGCTGCCTCTTCGACGCGGCTTTCCGTGCCTTCTACGACGCCTGTCATGCGGTCCTGTGGATGCAACCTCGGTTGCAGAGCTAGCCCAAGAACTGGTTCTGTCTCTCGCACCAGATCGAGATATGACGCTGCTAGAAGATCCAGGGCTGCGAGCATACGAATAATTTTTTGGCGTCCTTGGAAGAGCTGACGAAGTCGTGTTTATGCGGGAATTTTGTTTCACAGCGGGGACTGCGGGACGAGAACTACTGTACAAATCGTCAAAGTCACCGTCATCCTGAATTGCCGAAGCATGATATTCATATGCGTGTCAGTGACGTTCAGGATAATATGAAGAAGCTGGCAGCGCTTAGAGGGCACGTACCTCGTCGAATAATAGGTCAGTCATGTGAATGAGCAATTTTAAGGAATTGTATATAAAGTATTGGTAAAATCTCGTATTTAGCACAAAAGAAGTCATTTTGTTTTAATTTTCGTGTGCCCGAGGAACTCTCGTTCCTCGTTCCATTTTAGTGCATTAGGCAAATTATATGTATGAACCGCAAGTCGATCACTTTAAGGGAGTTGCTTGTTAACAATGAGTTCTTGAATTTTTATTACGATGTTTGACTCTTGTCACGTCTGGCGATGACATAAATCAAATGTGGAATTGCTTGAGAGTTTTGGATTGTTGCAGTTTACAAGATACGGTCTCTCAAACCCCGTCAGAGTTAAAAGCCTTAAGTGGATATGTTTGATTGATCATATTTACATATGCATGTCTACATACTTAGCGGCTAGTAATTACTGATACCAAGTCTCGTTAATTGTACTTCATTCTTACTTCCGGCACTGATGTCTCGTCCTTCACTTGCACAATCATTCAAGTCGCGGCGAAATGGCTGTTGCAATTGTAGTGCTCTAGTCCCTTCCTCGTATAGTGTTCTTTCCAACACTCCTCCTCGCCCACACCTTGCAAAACTTTGAATTCAATGCCTCAAACTCAAGCACATTAATAAGCTGAACAGCTTCAACAACTTGGTCCTCGCAATGCTTTGATGATACAATTGGTCAGCATGTCAGTTGGCATAACTACTCGGTCTAATTAAATGCGCTTGAAATGACGGTAAATAAATTAGAGATGCACGTCGACGTGTTCAGTACTTGCTATATTCTTTTCCGACTCGCTGATTGCTGCTTGGTGTCCATCCAAATAATCATAGACTACTTAGCCTTCGAATTGAGCTCGCCACAAGGTATCTTCAAGTCAGAAATCATTTTCCTGTTCGGACTCTGTCACTGCAGCGGGGCTGCCGTAGTACTTTGCTTAGAGGAAGCTAAGCTAAGATCACCGACCTTACGTTCTTTACAAGAACCAGTACGAGTGCAGCGGATCGCAATCCGCTTGTGGCAATCGTGTCACGAATTGACTTCTTGTTACGGTGTAGCCACACCATTGTGTGATTACACCAATTTGTGACTCCACACCTATTTACGGTCACGCCATCTGGTGTGAGCCGCCCTTTCATAGAAGGGTACGTGTAATCCCGTTTAACTCCCCCATTGAAATTGTGAACGTCCAAAATTCACATATATTGTACGAGGCTCGCGTGTATGAGACACCGTTACGTTCTCAAGAACAACCTTTAGCATTCTCCGCTCAATAATCAATGTTTCTATGACGCGCAAAACTCCCAGTCTAGCTGGTTCCGAAGGCGCCCGCGAACAAAGCTCTTCTTCTTTTTCTGCACAGAATGCATCTTTGAACCAAAGGTCCGCGGCTTCATGGGAAGCACATCCCAAGCCCTCGGCAACCGAGCGCCACACACCGCGCCAGCCCCGGGAGACGAATTCCTCGTCGAGGATTCGGAGGAAGTTGTCTGCGAGTTGGATACTACATTCCCAGCATGGGAAGACGAGGGGAATGATGTCCGCCAATGGCGCGACGCGAGTCCAGCTCGAACTTTGCGGATACCGTGTCCTCTCCCCAACCCCATGACTACCGGACAAAGCGGCTATGTTACTAATCGCCTCGACGAAACACAGGAGCAGCAATTGAAGGCGGCCCACTAGGCGGAACTCATGCGATCGTATCCACGTTCGGTCTTAGACCATCGTGTGTAACGAATTCCGCTCGGCGGATCCCGCTACTGAAGCGAAAGGCGTGATCACTCGATCGTTAGGCGTCAACGTAGTCGGGCCCCCGGCACCTCACAAGCTGAGCTTGACCAGCGTAAAAGTTTCTTGGTACCTCAAGAAATTCCAATGGATAGGCACCGCGCTCGACTTCCGGCTCAAAATGAAAATGCTCCTGTACCCGCAATGCGGACTATTCCTGTAATGCTCGCCCCAGGTGAAACCGCTGCAGATGATAATGAGGAGCTCTTTGAGTGATGGGTGCAGCGGTACCTTACAGCGAAGTCACAAGGAAGTGGACGAGCGCGTAGAACGTCATCTTCAATCTGAATTTGCCAAACTCAAGACGCGTCGCCGACTTCCTTCGGATTGTCGTCCTGCGACACATGAAATCACCCATCACGCTTTCGCGAGCTCTGTGACCTCTTACATGGGTGAGTCTACGACCACAGCAGCACAAGGTCAGAACTTAAGCTCAGCTCATGGCTTTTCGGCTTCACTGGATTCCGCCGAGAAGCGAGAGCCGCACGACTACGCGAAGCGTCATGGTCGTTCTGATCATAAGCATCTACGACGTCTGGGCAGCCTTGCCGAAGAGGCACCTCAAGCTCGGACGAGTTCTTAATGCTGGAGTATCTCCGCCACTTCACAAGAAATTGAGTTTGACCCTGGTGACGACGTGGACTCACAAGGCGTTCTACGTGGTAGTGGACGCCATCATTATCATCGAGAAGAGTCGACGGCGGGCGATGACGACTTGGTCGATCGCCGCCCGGTGACTCGCGATGCTCTTCAAGTTTTGATGACAAAGTCCGTCGTCATAGGCATTCCGCCGAGCATCTACCCGACTACCTCTGGACGGAAGACCTCGAGAGCCTGAAGAATTTTGTGCACCAACTGTCTCACATTGTCGGAGCGGCTCCTACCCGGTGGGTAGACGAATATTTTGCTACGTCTTAAGCAAGCCCACACATAATACCGAGTGGGTGCGCATTCTTCTCGGAAGGTTTAGCGTATATGCAAGGCCCGCTTGGCCACGACTTTAAAAGGTCCAGTAAACTGTGGACGGAGCTTTGTCTTCAAGACAGCAGAGACTGCAGGTGTAGAAAGGTTTTAAGAATTTCATAAAACCAGTTCTCCAACCTCAAAGGTTTTACATTTCTTCTGCTTCTTCCATCTGTATATTCTTTATGCATGTCTTTGCTTTCAGCCATCGCATCGCAAACGTGTCGTAGGACACTCAGTCTGGTAGACAAATATTCTTTATGGTCAGTGAGGGAGCTGATATTAGCTAGCCGCATGGCTCGTGAGTCATGGGATGGCGGCATCAGCGGGACGCAAAGGTTAACAATCCCGTTCACGTAGAACGGCATGTAGCCGGTAGGTGAATGCACTGCATTGTTCAGAGCAAACTCCACGAGTGGCAGCATGACGGTCCAGCGCTTCGCCGTCCCACCACAGACGCTGCAAAGAACGTCTTCAGCAACGCAATTCTTGCCTCAGTTTGACCATCGGTCTACGGATGGTCCACTGTTGACATAGTCAACTTGGCGCCCAGCACCCTAACGATTGTAAAGCGAAACTTCCTAGTAAAGCCGGAATGTCTATCAGAGACAATTGACTCCGGGAGTCCATGTTGTCGTCCGACACGATCGACAAAAGTGTACACCGTCGATGGTGTCCGGCACTGCCGCAAGATGAGCCATTTTGCTCTAACGGTCCACAAAGACCACCACACCCGTGTTTCCCGCCGGGTCCTTCGGTAAGCCAGACACAAAGTCCATCTCATAGACTACCAACACCCAGAGGGTACCGGTAAAGTGGCCAGCGGCGCCGCCGCATTCGGAGAGGGTTTCGCCCTTTGACATGTCTCACACGTGCGCACATGTACTCGTCCATTTGTTCACCTTGGACCACCATTTCTTTGAGCTGTACGTCTTTTGGCGACCAAGATAATAACAGTCATGGGCCTCATAGAAGATACGGATTTCAAAGCCTCATCGTGAGGAACCACAATTCGTGGTGTATCCGTCGAATTGGTGTAAAATACAGCAACCCGTTAATCAACGAATATCGGTGTAACCGTGTGCACATTCGCGCCTACAGTTTCCTGTCCAAATTTCCAAACTCCTTGCCCCCGAGAGCCTGTAGCAGCGCTACATACATACCATTACCCGCGTATGCGGTGCGGATCAAATTCGTCACTGACGACATCACCGTCGTGACATGAGCAAGCTCATAATTCGATAACCACTTGATCATCGAGCCATGTCGAGGTGGTCTGCTTGACAGCGCATCAGCCAAAGCATCCTGCTCTCCTGGATTATACTTCACCTCGAAGTTATATTCTGCAAAGAAGAAGACCCACCTGGCCATCCTCTGCGAGAGGTGAAGATACTGAGTCGCAGTGCGTATTGACGCATGATCTGTGTAGAGCACAAACGGTCTTGAATCAAGCAATTGCACTATGAATTTGACAATTGCATACTTCAGCGCAAGGAATTTCTTATTGTGAACTGGGTAGTTTTCCTCCGCAGGCGAGATTGAAATGCGAACACCCGATCTCACCCCTCGGCGTTTGCTTGCAGCAGTGCACAGCCGATGGCAAAGTCCAAAGCGTCCCAGACGACACCGGGGTCTGGTAGAGCCAGTATTTGTGCATGAAGGAGGCTGTTTTTGACCCTGTCAAAGACAGCCGATGCTCGGTGTCCCAACACCATTCCACATCCGTCTTAAATATATTCGATAATGACCATACCATTTCCGCATAATTTGCGCTATTCTTGTGTAGGTAGCTGGTGAGGCCAAGCCACTTGCGCATGCCCTTTTGGTTCTTTGGAGCCGGCCAATTCACAATGGCCTTAAACTTAGCGGGATCCGTTTTGAAACGACGCTTTCCATTGAAGCACCAAAAAAAAATCGCGCCGAAGATGCACTTGTCGGCATTAGCATACAGCTTATTTGCTCGTATGCACTCGAGCACCGCTCCAAATGGACGCTGTCGGTTTTCTCATCTGTCCTCCCGTGCCCGCACGACTGTGGACGAAGATGACGTCGAAGTATGTTTGTGCACACGCTCGGTGGGGCCTGAACAATGGTGTCACAAGACGATACAATGTTGCTGGTGCATTTGACAGCCATTGGGGCATTACCAGCCGCTCCTAGAGCATCCCGCTCGGAGTACCAGCTGAATATCACTCGCTCTCATCAGCAATTGGTAATACCCCATCAACCAAGTCGAGTACACTGTACTTTGTACAGCCAACCATATTGTCCTGGAAAAATCCTACCGGAATTTTACTTATTGTAAGCGTGGACGATACGCCACTTGCCGCTCTGCTTCCGGAAGCAAAACATGGGTGTCAAAAGGGGAGACTCGCTCTTACGCACTATTCCTGCGACGTGCTTCGCACGGAAAAAGCGTCAATGACGTCAAACTGCTCCTTGGACAGGGCCATTGGCGTGTTACGCAGTATTTGGCTTCAAGAACCAGGTCGATCTCATGACGCACACCTCGGTTCGGAGGTATGGCCGACGGCGGGTCTTTGTAAAGTACGCCTCGAAATCCCTTTACCAAAGAACAGTACGGATCCAAGGGATCCTTCAGGATTGACGACCATCTTCATGCGTTCAGCATGCTCTTCGTATCCTCCAGGACAACTTCATCCAGAAGCGACGACGGGTTAGTGTCCTCGTTCGGTCGTATAGAGACCACTCGGCTAAATTGCCTGCTTTTAAGACGCCGCCGAACTCTTCGAAGGACAACTTG